AATCCAACATAGGTAATTCTCTTTGTTCACCTTCAACTTCATAAGTGAATTGGATTGCGTCTACTACTGAGTTTATATGTGTGAGGAGGTTATCGATATGTTCCGATTTCAGCACAGTAAGTGTATCATCCACATATCGACACTATATCTTAGGTACACGATTAAATGTTCGTAAAGCCATGTTTTCTCAACTATCCATAAATATATATGCTACGATTGGGGATATTGGCTATCCCTTTGCTTCTCCTTCTGTTTGTCTGTGTATTTGTCTTTAACTTGAAGACTGTGTGGATCAGGCACAAACGTACGCCTAATATGACCTCATCAACTGATATCTTAGTTATGTGAGTAAGTTCCGAGTCAATATTTACTTGACTTCTAACTGCTTCCAGTGTCACATTGACTGTTATTTTAGTATAAAGACTTGTTATCTCTAAACCAACCATTTCTTCAGCCTCTTCTGTATGTAGTTTACCAAACCTTAGTTTTAATTCGTAAGAGTTTACTAGTCTGGAATTTGAACGGTTTCTAATAGGACACAATATTGATGCTAAGTACTTTACCAGTTCATAAGTTGGGGTATTTCTGAAGTCGACTATGGGTGTAATGGGATAACCTGGTTTATAAACCTTAATGGTGCCATAAATGTAATGCTTAAAATTAATAATCCTAGCAGGATTTATAAAGTGTGCAGTTGTTCTGTATATTGAATAGCTTGCATTCTTATACACTGAATGATTCGTTTTAAACCTATACAACACTCTATTACGTAAGTGTACGTTTAAAACATGTCTCACACATTTCCATTAGACATGTAATTAACTATCGTCTTACAATTGAAAAAGTAAACACATAGACAAGACGGGAAGAATGTATAATCTTTCACCTGTCGTAAGTATCAATCTATTCTCAGAAATCTGTTTTCTTGAATGGTGTTACAAAAAAACACAATGTATAGGATGAATTTCGGCGCTATATAGGTAAAGTAGACATTTGTTCGTCTTCTTCAAGTCATATATATTAGTAATCTAGTCAACTAGGGGCATTTCCCTAAGCATTCAGAAAATTATTGAACTGACTTTCCATGTGGTCATCTAATGCATGAAACATATGTACTTCCATACACACATACATACATATAAACATACAGACACACATACGCAAATACACATTATCATCATCATCATCATGGTATTTGTGACTGAAAATTAATTGATATTTACCTAATTTATCTTGTATTCATTATCTGTCATTAAAGTAGTTGATATATGAACGATTTATATGATGGAATCACTATTCCTATGAATCATGATTACAAATACATTTAAGGCAACATGTGGTGAACCTGTTTTTGCTTTTATCCAACTATCCAACCTTCAAATAATGTATACATATCCAGATAGATGGATGAATGGATGAATGAATACTTCTCCTCAATTTTTCCTTAAAAATATCTTGGTTTATATCATAAAACTATTAAATATTATTAAAACTGAAGTTGACATTTTTGGTTTTTGCGATAATCTAATTGTTTTCCATAGACTGAATAAAGTAGACGACACAATTTGGCACTAAATATCAATGTACTTCACGAATCTTTTGCCTAGGGGTCCTGATTTATTGATGTTTATCAATTGACAATAAAGACATGCTTATCCTAAATCTGTAAGTACATTTTGTAATGGATGTGAGTGTGCCTTAAGCTGGAGTTCGTGTCTCTTAAAAAAACGACCCGAATAGCTATTCGTTCATACACTCGTTACTCTCCGTTGTTATATTGTAATGATTCGCTTGGTTGTAGCTACCACAGAAACGCAGTAAGCGCGTTTCATCCTATTTAGGACTCGTCAGCTGGACATACATGCATCTCAGTGAGTGGTGTTGTTTCCATGTAGCCATATTCACGAAACGTTTAGACATTAGTATAGGAGTCCATATACTAACAGAGATCAGTCAATTTAATCCAGTAAAACAACGAAGAAGTACAAGTATATTAACAAGTAGTAATAAATAATGCCTATTGTACACGAGATGGTGGCTATTGTTCCTTAGTGGCCTAGTAGATAAGGCTTTGGCGTTTGGAGCGATATCTACGAGGTTCGAGTCTCAATGAGAACAATGCTACTCATTGATGAGTCCCAGAAAGGATAAATTTCTTGTCTTGGATTCCTCTGCTAGTCACAGTCAAGGGATAACAAATAACCTAAATAGCTGTTTGGTGAAACTTTTAATGATAAAATTAAGTGGTACTGCTTTTCACGTATGAAGAGTCGTCAGTTTTCTAGGAGATGAAGGTCAATCTCACCAAAATGCACGAAATAAATGTCTAAGATTTACCGCTGATTGCTTTAACCTACCTAACACTTAGTGCTCATAATGATAACATGGATAAACAAACATAAATGGGTACTAAGATTTGCAAAGCAACGATATTGATTTCACGATGAATACTGAGTCATTTTGGCAGTCTTGTAGGACTTGAACATCTCTGCTACATTGTGATGTAATGTTAATCTAGATGACTAGCAGAGGGATCCAAGATGGGCGTTTTGTCCTATCTGGGACTAGTTACCTGGATGTACCTGAACCCCAGTGCCAAGTGATGTTGTCCCACTGGGGCTCAAACCCAGTACCCTTCGCCTCAAACGCCAGAGCGTTATCCACTAAGCCACTGAGGCATTATGCAACATTAAGAATTGATTTGAGTTTGCACTGCTACCATCCAGTCACTCAATAACAACAGGATTCCAAAAAATCTTAGGCTACAAGCTGAATTCATCCCTAATTCAACATCTGATCAACCTGTAGTCAATTTAAAGTAAAATTTTATTATGTCAATTTATCATGTGTCCATTATTTTATATAAGAAAATAGGAAGTAAATAATGCTACTTCATATTCGTCTCTTTGTTCCTTCTCCTTTTAACCTTCACCAGCATGTAGTGATACTAACTGTGATGACTTGAAATGTTAACTAAGGATTTCAGGACTCTTGCCCTTAACATCTGTCTGTCTTCTGTGTAGCTAACTGTAAAGTTCACAGTAGTTTCAAAGGATGACTAAGGCTCAGATGATTATATTTGCTCATTCATTCAAACCAGTTTCTTAAGTGAGTTCGAAAATCATAAATCATTATAGGACAAGGCTTATTTACAAGTAGTTTTCGATTCCAGACGAACATCGGTTAGAAAGTCACTAAAAACTCTGAAGTATTGGACAGCTGCTTCATCCTACTTTTGAAATCCTCAACAAGTGTTTAACATGAAGTGCTGAGCCTAAAACCGAAATGATAGCAGTCATCCAGTAGCATTGGTTATTATTTGTCTTCAAACTCGACATGGGTAAATCTCTCACACAGTCATAGTTGAGCACTGTTGATCAGTAAGAAAGTAGGAGAAAATAGCTTTCGATTATTCCCAAGTCTTCTGCAGTTATCTAACTCGTATCAACTTGTGATGAAAAACTACTCTATGGTCGTTCGATTAATCCCTAAAAGCTATCGGCTGTAAAGGTGACTTATTAGTCAGACAGCCGATAACGTAACCTCCTGATCACAACTATTTAATGCCAAGTAACTCATAAAGTATTTTAGCTTTAGACTGATGTTCTTTACCCTGCTTCGTAATAGCAACTCTTAATGAGAACTGAGTCATTTATGTATGTATGTATGAGGGTAGGTAGATATATAGGTAGGTAGGTAGGTAGGTGGGTAGGTAGGTAGGTAGGTAGGTAGGTAGGTAGGCAGGTAGGTAGGTAGGTGTGAGTCTATGGCAAAAATAGTCATCTCACAATTCACTTACTCCTTGACTTCTGTCCAGTATATTTTATTATTCTCACTACTAAGTGAAGATTTTTGTTCTATCATTGATATTTTTAAAGGAAAGTTTATGTCTTTTAAACACATCGCTAAAACTTCTGACAAGATAAGATTTTCACAAATTCTGAACAAATAACAGCAGCTTTACGTGGAGTGATATTCTCTAAGCTGAATGGTTTCATCTTGAAGTTATCATCGTCATTCCAGACAACACAATTAGCACAAACTTTAGAAAGGAGACCTCATGGCTTTGTCTAGAATGACAGTGAAAGACTGATGATGAAATTATCAAACTCAGTGGAAACACAACGCCACCAAAGTCATTCTCTTGGGTTATATATACTCTCAATCACACTTTATAATGACTAACTAGTGGTCGAATAGAAAGCGGTCAACATAGTCTATCCAGTATAAAAAGACTTCAAAATAAATTCAGAACCACTTCCAGAATATATGAATGCCATTCATGGAACCACCGAAAACCAAGCGGCAACACATATCTATTTGATTCTAAAATAAAACTCACAGGTAGTACTCATTTATTATCTTAAAACTGATAGGGAATGCCACGTCAATCGTTATGGAGAACAAGTTCCAGTTCCAGCGATGAGCTGAAATCAGATGGCTAACATTTTCCAAGTTTAATGTCCAGATTATCAACCGGTTTGACTAATAAGAGAGTGATTGCTGATAGCCAGCCTCTGATAACAATAAGTAGTTATGGTTGTATTATGTTGAAAATGAGCTTAATTTTACAGAGCATTGTACGTTGAGGTATTCTTCATAGTAGCTGAAGGCTTCGGACTTGATAGCATGTCATGTATTAGAAGAGTACCTGGAAAAAGTCTAAGACTAGGTGAAACAGACCTTCACTTCTCAATGATTCTTTGATCAAACAAAGCTATCTTCAGATCAATTAATTGTTCACAAATCACTCGAAATGAAGAAAGATAACAAGTTGTAATATTAATCCTTGTGCAACAAACAAAATAAAATGTTTTTAAGGATTTTGAATATTGTATCTTATTTCATCGTTTTCAAAATATTCACCATCACTTAATTTCTTTCTAGGTAGTTGTCAAGCTTTATATTGAATAGCTTTAAAAAAAGTTTACTTAAACTAGTCTAGAAAACTGAAATTCTCTAAACCACGTTGTTTTGATAAATATTCTTTCATTTAATAGTTTGGAATGTATTTACCATCCAGAATTTCCTGATCTTGTGGATATAGTTGAGGAAGATGATGATGATGATGATGATGACGACGACGAGGATGATATAATTGATGAGCATCTTGATGAAGATCTCGAAGTCTTACAAAAACTGGATCCCAACAACAATAATAATCCTATGAAAGAAGATATTATCTCCTCGTCCAGTGTTAACTGCGATTCAAGATCAAATAACTGTCCATGTTTTTCAAATGATAATCCAGAATATGATACAATATCTGATGTGACAAATATGAATACTAAATTACAAAGAAGACCAGATGGAAGCAGATGGAATTCATTTGGAAGCCAGTCTAAAAATGTGACAATCAAAGTGAGTTAATTGACCCTACTGATGCTTCTTATGATATGCCTTAGATATTATGAATTAATGATGGATAGTGGCTAGGAATGGAACCTAGGTTACACGTTTCATCCTATTCTGAACTTGTCATCTGGATGTACCTGCCTCCTAATGAACTATGTCACTGCCACCACGACTTGAACTCGGGACTGATCACTTTAAACACCAGAGTGTTATTCACTAGATCACCGAGTAACTATATCCACTTCAAGTGAGACAGATATAATCTCATTGCTGTTGCTTGTGTTATCCCGTCGTTGAGTGGACCGAATCGATCGGTCTCTATAGGTATATGGGCTCCTGTGCAGATGCTTCGATATTGCCTGTGTTTCAATTTCATATTATTCATGGATAATGGCTAGCAGTGGAATTCATGATGCACGTTTTTTCCTATTTGGGACTCGTCAGCTGGATATTATAAATTGATATCTTGCATAGGATAACACAGTATGGAATTTTTCGTTGTCAAATGGAAACGTAGGCTAGATTTCACATTAATTAGATTTTCTAGTCAATTTTTTTCATTTACATATGCCATAAAAACTATCTGTTAAACTTCCACTGACAAATATTCATTACCAAGACTTTTGGTTTCATTTTTTAGTATCCCATATCTGATTGTAAGTAGAGCTTAGGATAATACGATTAACCGTTAGTTATTTAGACGGTGAGTACAGTTACCCAATGACTCTCCTAGATTAACGTATCGGGACGTTACTTTCGACATTTTTTGGACACTTCTGCTCTTTTTTTTTAAGGGATATCTAACACACACTAATCAAAAGACTAGGTCATTCCCAACATACTGGAACCAGGAAGTTCGGTATTTTCAAGGTGGAAAGTTATGATATGTTCAATTTACTTCATTAAAATATCATTAAGCTTTGTTCTCTTAACCTTGACTTGAGTAATTGCTGAGATTCTTTCTCTGCATCTTCATGATAGTCTGTTCTAATCAACATTCAGTTCCATTGTAGTGAATGTGGATAATTCGCCTTCTAGGATTCTGTTTACGTTTCCTTGGTTAGTATTACAATTTTCAAATCACTGTGAATATTGAGATCTTACTTTTGACTACAAATCATAATAAAATAAGGTTTTTTAATTGCAATACTTTCTAAATTATCCCTATGATAAACTATAAGGTTTGTGATATTCTTAACTTTATTGAGAATAAACACTCGGGTTGAAACGGTACCTACTGATTGAAGGAGTCAAAATCTCTCACTGAAGTAAAATTTACTCCCTTTTTTTGTTAAATTCCTCGAATATTTTCAATTTTTCCTTCCTCCCAAAGTTTTTTTAACAAATAAAACTAGATGCTAAACACACTTGATAGCTTGATCAGAAGTATATAGTCAAAGAAATTCTGTACTTTAAGAAAGAGATCCTAAGTCACTTACTAATTAATAGATGATTGAAAAGAAGTTAGGACCTGTTGAACAGCTAAGTGAACTAGTTCATCTGATAGAATAGCAGGCCAGTCATCCCTAGGGTGCTGTTTGGAATCCTGGTGCGACTCGGACTTTCACTCCACCTTCAACTATCACTAGTACCAGTAGTACTTATCTACCAGCTTCAAGGCTATTAGAGATAGTTTCATCAATAATACTAAGTACGGAACGAAGTGCCTGGGTGCAAACATCTCAGGGTGACCTGCTTAAGCTTTGGGCTATCGAAAATTTTCCACCGGATATATTTCATCGAATTATTTCCTTTCAGTTTGTCCTAACGTTCTGAATATATATTTCAAACCCCCTATGAACTCTTGAACACTTTCTAAATGGTTTCAAACTGCCAATTCCTAAACTAGCAACAAGACAAAGGAAAAAAGATATGCCAGTAAGGAACCGGCTTATAAATGTACAGAAATGCAACAGACTACTATTCTTTGGATCACTATGTCGAGTTGTAGATCTTGGTACAGGTTAGACAGACTATCATCACCAAAACTACCCTCTATGTTCTACTCATTCACCAGTCCAAATCAGACTCTAGTGTATTACCAGATGCCTGTTTCATATTGTAGCTTTTATTAACGTTATTAATAACATTATTGAAATGCAAGGGCTATTTCGCTTAACGATATTGTACAGGGGATGAATTTTTTTAACCACTGCATACAGAGAGTGCCACACTGTATCATACATGTTGCTTGGAATTGTTTGGAATCACTTTTGATGTGGTATCTTGATATTGAGATACAGATTGTCTAAGAAACACATTCAACAGACAACTTTGAGAAACAAACTAGAAAAAATTCACTTTTCATAGACTTTCGCTTTGCAGAGACTAATAATATTCACTTATATTTTAGTCCAATCCCTATTAACAACAGATTTATGATAAGAAGTTGTCTCGCATTTAGATTGGATGTTTTATTATAGACAACAGGAAATAATTCATCTAGGCCTCATGCGTGTTACTATGCTCCAACAAAGTAGGTTTGTAACCTAGATCCCTTTGACACTGAGTTGTAACTAACTGATGTTTATCAGTACCAATTTATGTTCCTACAATCTAACTATACATCTGCCGTGATGAAAATAATGTGTAACAACACACAATGGAAATATCTACCCATCCAAATTCCCTCCTTCCTGATCCTTACCTTGATCTATACATTTGTGGAATCGTCAATGAATATACACATATCATCATGACTTAAGCATTTTGGAGCTTGTATATAACTGTGTTTCTTCATGATGGTCTCATCGAAAGGTCTTACAGCTGAAACTGCAGTTGGTAGCCCTTCATGCTCAAAAGTATAGGACCAAACTGTCAAAAATTTACTACATGAAGAAAGAAAAAAGTTAAACATCATATCAAGGAACTAATAACCAGTTTTATTGGTCAAAATAAATAAAAATTTGATTTTTATTCAGTGTAAATGAAAGAAAAGTGCTTAGATACATATCGGCTAATTGTACTTACATTTCTGAGATGATCGATCAGAACCAGTAGAAGTGTGTGTACGATTTTGATATCAAACTGGGGTTTAATTTTGACAGAGGAAAAGTTAAAAAGGGTATATCATAAAAATGTCAGAAGACTAACAAACAAATATGTATGATAGTGGTATGCCACCAGGATGAGATCATTACAAGGTCAGAAAAGTAAAATGAACCTCTACTATGGTATGTATTGCACCAAAACTGTAGATATTCTAGAAGTGAAAAGTCCTTTCGTCTTTGACTACTTTTCAGAAGTATCACTTCTGTTCAGTCATTAGCTCAAAAATATTGGTGGGTTTGAATGTAACGTCTGAAAATTTCAAAAATTCCATCGAAAAAGATAAAAATTTTCAAGTTGTTATTCATCATAGACTGACATCAGTTGGAGAAACAAAGGAAATGTGGGAGCACTGGATAGCTGTTTCGTCAGACTGGTATGGGACTCCTCAGCAGTGCGCTTCCACGAACCCACTGAGCCAGGGCTCGAACCCGTGACCTTCAGGCTCCGCGGCCAGCGAGTTGCCATTGAGCCACTGGGTCAGAATCCAATGCTGATTAAAATCACTTATGTCGCAAAGTAAATCTGTAAAGATACCCGTTTATCGTACAAAAGAACTACCATCTCCCAACTTCTGACTACTAATCCTGCCAACTGTTATACGAGTTTTCTGTTTTACGCTCTTAACATTTACTTGTCTGCAATCTAAGTAGCTAGTTAGAGAACATTTTAAGGAAGTTATGAATGATTCGTAAGTTTGGGGCTTTGTCGGGATTTAGTGACTTTTCAAGCTGGCATTGATTATGGACTGACAACAGTTGCAGGAACAGTCGGATTCTAGGAGCACTAGCATAGGACTCCTCAGCAGTGCTTCGCATGACTCCACTCCACCGGGATCGAAGTTAGGACCGTCAGTTTCTGTGGCAAGCACATTATCACTGAGCTACTGTGGTAACGCGCTGGCCTCACAACCTGAAGGTCCTGGGTCTGATCCCTGGCAGGACCATAGGTGCGCACTGCTGAGGAGTCTCGTACTAGGACTAAACAACCGTTCAGTGCTCCCAGGTTCCCAATGTTCCTCCAAATGATGTCAGTCAATGATGAATATCAACTTGATCATAAGTAATAGGGATACATCTTATGAAAAAACAGTAAGTACTTCCGTTGCATATTACACTATCCGAAATGTTAACCTGACATAGGTTCTAAAGCTACGTTTATTCACCTTTGTATTCCTGATTTTGGCAAATCATTCAAAAATAGCTTGATTCAGACCACGTGTTTGAAAGGTTCTCTGTCTGTAGTCAGAAAGATATCCGAGTTTACCTCAGCTGTCATTTTCCACTATGATTTTCTCTGAAAACCGAAACATTCAGACTACAAATTTTGAAATCCTCAACGCTAAGAAATCAAGCAGAAGTATGTGAAACATACTAATAATTCAGATCAGCAGTCGAAAGCAACTCATGACAACTAGTTTGAAGACAATATAAACACTACAGAGCAGTTTCACTAGTTTAGGACCGTCAGTCAGAATGACTGACTTCAAGGAGTAGAACTGTTCTAAGCTGGTCAGCTACTTTCACTGACGTGTATTACTTGCCACAGTAAAGTTCCTTCAACCCGGATAAAGTAAAGTTACAACTAGAGCAAAATCTGAGGGACTAGAACAGTTTGAAATAGAATTCACTACTAATACAATTCACCAATAGGCTTATACATTATTTTTTTGTTATTATTTGTCCCTTGGGTTCCTAATGGAACATAGGTCTTCAGTAGCACGTCTACATTCCACTCTCTTCTCTGCAATCTTTTCAACCTAGTTCACGACACCACAAAAGCTCTCATTTCCTCCTCGCACGATCTCCTCCATGTCACCATCGCCTCAGAAGCCCAACTCGTCTCTTCCCATCTGGGTTCCACTCGAGTGCCTGGCTGGCCTGACGCGTGATGTCCCCAGTCGGCCTTCTCAGTGTATGCCCAATCCATCTCCACTTCCTTGCAGTGCATATTTGTTG